CCGCACTGGGCCTGGAGCCTGCTCAAGATTCTCTCTCCCTCCCCCTCTGTCCCTCCCCCCCATCCCGTGTGCACACTTTTTCTCTCTGAAAAAAAAAAACGCATGTTGATTTTGCTTTATCTGTGTTTGTGTATCTCAGCATTCAGAGACTTCCCTTAGCAATTCCACTGCATCTATTACAACACAGATGTATTAATGGTGTCTATATGAGGCACTGAGAAATACTTTAGCAGTTCAGATAGAAGAGTTTGGGTATTCTATTTTACTGGTCTGCCTGAGTGAATGCACACGCTGCAAATAGAAAGGAGAAAATGGGGAATTATTCACAACTTGTTATTCTGTATCCTATACGGTCATTTCAAATTAAGAGGGTATATTCTCATTTTAACAATTTTTTCTCTCAAAGCTATGAAGAAGGGGATTTTGAAAAAGCTGCTGAACTATACAAAAGGGCGATGGAAATAAAAGAAGCAGAAACGTCACTTTTGGGTGGAAAAGCTCCTTCCCGACACTCCTCAAGTGGAGACACATTTAGCTTAAAAACAACCCATTCTCCTAATGTTTTCCTTCAAGGACAGAGGTAATAGCAATTACAATTCATTGCAAATGCACCTTAGGATAAAATAATTAAGAAATATTTGGAACCTAAGAATTTAAAACAAAAAAATGTTGAGTTTATTTTTATTTTGTGTGATTTAACTGGTATGTGCATAAAATTGCATAGGACTACGTTAAAGTTTGAGTCATGATTGTGTCAGTGTTAGCTGCTTAAAAGAATTAACTTTCTTAATGTATGGGATCCATGGATGTGGACACATTAGAACCCAAAAATGACATGAAGAATTGATCATGAGGAGTGGTTATTCTTTGTTCAAGAAGACCTGACATAGCTGTGAAGACAAGGAGTTCAATTCCATAATTCTTTCATCTCTCAAGAGCTACACTGGCCTCACCATTCCTGGTCGTGCTTTTCAGCAGTAGCCTGGCCCAAATCTCTACCTCAAAGAAAAGTTTCAAGAAATAAAGGGATAATGTTCATGGAAGGTTTGAATTATTTTCTGTAAAATGAACTAGTAACAGTTGTCTCTGACTGCTACATTTTTTAAAAAGTCTACCTTTTCCATGAGCAGACTGGGCCAAGCCCTCTGCTTTCTGCTCTCTCTACATTGTTCTGCTGTGTTATATGTATCTGCATAATCTGAAGTTTTTAATGCAGTAAGTCGAGCTCTTAGCATTCTTTGACCTTCCCCAAAATAGGGACATGACAGTCTCCTCTTCTTTCTTAAATGGCCTAAATCTCTCTTCATTTATCTCAAACTCAGATTAGTCTATTTTATATTGAAAATGAAATATGTTTTACAGGTTTTATAAAAGTTGTCACATTTTGGTTTTGTGCCATTTATGTATTTATACATAATAAAACCTTCAATTTTAATACCTTTAAGATTCCAACATATTAATTATAAAGGTGAAAGATATAACCATACTTCACTGTTTTAAAAAAAAAGTGCAATTTCAAGGTTTTATTTCCCACTTCAATTTATACAAGAGAGTTGTAGTTACATAATTAATACTTTGAACATTACAAAAAATACTTGAAAAATATCCATACTGAATAGTTTGCTCAAATTAAGTTTTGGCGGGGTGCCTGGGTGGCTCAGTCGTTAAGTGTCTGCCTTCGGCTCAGGTCATGATCCCAGGGTCCTGGGATCGAGCCCCGCATCAGGCTCCCTGTTCCACGGGAGGCCTGCTTCTCCCTCTCCCACTCCCCCTGCTTGTGTTCCCTCTCTCGCTATCTCTGTCAAATAAATAAATAAAATCTTCAAAAAAAAAAAAGTTTTGGCAACTTTATTGGGTTTTGGTTAATGTTCTGTAAGGCTTGGCTACACACAGGGTGGTCCATGAACTGGGATCATCAGTATGAAAAATTAGCTTATGAAAAATTAAGACTCTAGAGCCTCTCCTCAGACCTACTAAATCAGAATCTGCAATTTGACTAGATCTCCAGGTGGTTCATATGCACCTAAGTTTGAGAAGCAATGGTCTAATTTTAAGGCACTATAGTGGTCACTTAGAAGAATTTGGCAGGATCTTATAAAATGAGCATCCTTCTTCCCCTTTTGAGAGAAGTTCAAAAGGAAAGAAGATAAAATATGACCATAGTACATCTTTCTGGGTTTGCCAGCTATGAAAGGTACAAAGTAATTACATTCACAAATTACCATATACTGCTTTCAGAATTAAGCTACTAAAGTTTAAAATTTGATTATCTGGTAATATAGTAATTTAATACACTATTATAAGTAGTATATTAAGTTTAATGCCTTTAAAAAAAACTGCTTTAGGAAATAATCTGAGATTAATATTCTAGAAGAACCCTGAAAAAAGGAAAAAACAGCAAAAGAATAATAGGCCTTTATTCTTTGTTCCCACAAAATTTGGACTTGAAAAATATAAGTGGAAATATAATAGTATTCAAAGTGATTTATGGTAAAAATTCATTAATTAGTTAGGGGTTGAGGACTCCATATATTTCATAAAATTTAAGTTTAAATATTCTTTTGAAGCTGCATTTTGATCTTACTTATTGTACTACCAACTCAAATGTTTTCATGTAAAGTGTCTACTTAAAAAGCTAAAAATAGGGGCGCCTGGGTGGCTCAGTCGGTTAAGTGTCTGCCTTCAGCTCAGGTCATGATCCTGGAGTCCTGGGATCAAGCCCAGCATTGGGCTCCCTGCTCAGCAGGGAGTCCGCTTCTCCCTCTTCCCCTCACCCCCGCTCGTGTTCTCTAATAAATAAAATCTTTAAAAAAAAAAAAAAGCTGGGACAGACATCTCTTTGTATTTGAGGTTCTCAAATAGAAATATGTTCACATTGATACACACCTTCACGATGAAAAAGGTAGCTTTCAGACAACTCAATTACATCTGAATTGGTAGGAACCAGATAATGGTAGTTGTAGTTAATTTTCATTAATACTTTGCAGAAAGAGAAATATGGAAAAAAACTGCAATTGGAGGGTTAAATCTTCCTTAATATTCTTAAATGGTTATTCCATTTTGTGTTGATTCAGTGTGTTTGTAGGTTTTCAAGGAGTATTTTTATGTGAGAAAACCTAGGATGCATATTCTTTTCACTACATAAAACATTTAAGTGGTACATAAATTAACTTCCCATTCACAATGGGGAAGGCGTTAAAGCTGAACATATTGTTTTACTGTAATTTAGAGCCTTTGTGCTATGGCAATTTGGTGAGTGTGTTTCCTTCTTTCACATTAGAAACAACAGTGTTTAAAAATATGGTCAAGCACTACAGATTTATTTAGTACTATAAAACTCGGTGATGATTAATTTCTCAAAATTGGCTACTATATATATGTAAGTTTTTATGGCATACAGACGTTAAGAGAGCACTCCAGGTAGCAAAAGATACCTGTTACCAGATTTTTTTCTGGTAAAATCAACTATTTTTTAATGGAAGACATTAGACAAATTAGATAACTTAGTAATAGTTGATAACAGTATAAGACACCAGCAGTGTACAGTGCCATGTTAAGAGCAGAACAAAGGTGGGGCGCCTGGGTGGCTCAGTTGGTTGAGCGACTGCCTTCGGCTCAGGTCATGATCCTGGAGTCCCGGGATCGAGTCCCGCGTCGGGCTCCCTACTCGGCGGGGAGTCTGCCTCTCCCTCTGACTCTCCCCCTCTCA